GGTGACTGTTTCCAGTGTCCATTCTCCCGATGGGAACACCAAGGCTTACAGAGGTCAGGAAATGGACCCAAAGTTACACAGCAAGCCAGCATACGTCCAGGCTGTGAACCCAAGTCCCTGGGCCCAGAGCTGATGCTCGTAAGCACCTAGTCACCCTCACTCTGCACCCGTGTCCAGAAACACCTCCTGCCAGAAGGCGAGGATGTGCGGTCCCGGGAATGTTACAGACAGCAAAGCCAAGAGAGCAGGGCGCCCCTGTCCTCTGCAGGGTGTGGTGGAGAAGATGAACTGGAACCAAGAAAAGCCTGCCTGCTTCAAGGACAAAGCTGATGCTCTCCCCTCAAGGCCTCCTTGATCCCGATGAATGGAAAGCACTCCCAAAACACGTGGGGTGCAGTGCACCTCAACTCAGAGCGCTCCCAACCTGCACACGTGACCAGCATGCGGGATGGGAAGGTACATGAACTGCACACGCTTAAGGGCAGGCACAAATCGAAGCTTCGTCTCACGGTGTCAGAAAAGCCCGAAGAATTGTTGCTTCAGCAGGACCCCTCGTAATCTCAGGGCAGCACAGATCTCCCCAACATGACAATCTGGATCCCACGGCGGTCCCTCCCTTCCCCATCAGAACCTCATTACAAGAGCAGGAACAGAGCAGACACAACGCTGATTCCATCCTGCCAAGCTCCAGTGGGGTCTCCCCACCCCCCCACCATCCTGCCAAGCTCCAGTGGGTTCTCCCCAACCACACCCCTCCTCTCCATCCTGCCAAGCTCCAGTGGGGTCTCCCCAACCCCACTCCACTTCTCTATCCTGCCAAGCTCCAGTGGGGTCTCCCCGACCACCCCCCATCCTGCCAAGCTCCAGTGGGGTCTCCCCAACCCCACTCCTCCTCTCCATCCTGCCAAGCTCCAGTGGGGTCTCCCCGACCAACCCCATCCTGCCAAGCTCCAGTGGGGTCTCCCCGCCCCTGCCCCCACATCCTGCCAAGCTCCAGTGGGGTCTCCCCAACCCCCCCCTCCATTCTGCCAAGCTCCAGTGGGGTCTCCCCAACCCCCCCCACATCCTGCCAAGCTCCAGTGGAGTCTCCCCAACCCACCCCCTCCATCCTGCCAGGCTCCAGTGGGGTCTCCCCAACCCCCCCCTCCATTCTGCCAAGCTCCAGTGGGGTCTCCCCAACCCACCCCCTCCATCCTGCCAGGCTCCAGTAGGGTCTCCCCGACCCCCCCACCCTCACCCCGACACGGAAGGGTTTTCACTTTACTCCCTAACTAGCCTCACCACAACCCAGATGGTGCTCAGAACGGGAGAGAGAGGCTTCATAATTCTCAGCTGAATTCGGGTCTAATGGTGGCAGGACACCTCCAAGCTATTCAAAGAAAAACCACCAGAGGAAACAATTTCAATTCTGGCTTTACAAGCATGTGATTTAAAAATAACTCTGCCTTTGTCTGCTATAGATGACTTTCCCTAAAGGGACTGCTGTCCTTAAAGCAATCACTCAATTCTCAGGGCAAACTGATTCTTCTTTTTTCCGTATGCAGCACATATCTCCAGGAAAGCACTCACGGCACCACCTCTGATAGCATCTGACATGCAAACGTCGAAGTGGTCAGCACTCTCCTGCCATCCCTGCGGCTAGGGAATGGCCAGGAAGCTGCACCTCAAATGCGTGAAAAGCCCCTGCCGATGCCTACGGCATCCAGGAACCACCACTGCTCCTGATTAAGATGTCAGCCCAGAAAGCACAGCACATAACCCCCACTGCCAGAGAAGGCTTCAGCAGATCCCTGGGTTATTTCTTCAAGGAAAATTGCATTCAGATATTTAACTCATCCTTTGAACAGACAGGTAAACAGAATAATAATGATGGGTGTATAAAATAGGAGAGGGCTTGGAGGGCAGTCAGGGTAAACAGTAAGAGAATTCACAGGAACACTCACCTTGTCATTCCAAGACACACTTGGGGTAAACCTAGAAATGCATAATTTGTCATCTCTTTCACTTCCCTTCAGCCACACAGGTAGCACTAATGGTACAATGCTACCGAGTATAACTCAAAATATGCACGCTGAGCAGAGAGTAGAAAACAAATATTTAACAAAATTGCTTTGCAATTATCTCCTGATTATCCTGATGTCTTAGTTTTATTAACTAAAAGTGGATAACTATGCTCTTATTAATGTTATATTTCTTCTTGGCAACTTAAGGTCTCCTGACTGCTTCAAAAGTTTTGCCATAATGCATTACAGGAGGTATAAAGCATCCATGTATGTGACAGGATCCTGAATTAAGCCCAGATGTGGCCGTTCAAATCGCAAGTTGAGATCAGTAGTTCCGGGGCGGGCTGGGGGTGGGGAGAGAGAGGGGGCAATTTTGTCCTCTGGGGACATTTGGCAGTAACAGGAGACATTTTTACTGGTCACAGGTTGGGGTGGGGAGGGTTTACTGGCTTCTAAAGAACAGAGGGCAGGGATGCCCTCAAACATCCCACAAAACACAGGGCACCCCCTACAGCAGACTCACCTGAGGAATCTTGCTGCAGACTGAGATTCTACAGTTCCCGGAATGCTCACAGCTACCTCTGTGCTCTTCCCTTCTCAGGATTTGTTTTCCTCAAGGGTTACTCGGCATTTCTATTCGGGTCACCACTGTGATTACACAGAATCATGAAGGACTTTCTCCTGTTTCAGGTTTGCCTGTGATATACCACCCATCAACTCCACCTTCCCTAGAATTTTACGTTGCATTATCACCTCTGTAAGAACAGCAGTGTTATTTTATCTGCACTGGGTATTTTAAGAAGAGCTCTAACTTCTTTTCCTTTTTTTGTCAGGAATATCATTGAGTTTAAATGAATTGAAGAGTATTATTTACGAAGTGTGCTTCTGTTGTGAAAAAAAACATGTAAGTGAAGAACTTATTTCTAGGTCCCAGTGCCCCCTTTGATCCAAGTGTCTTCAACTCTACAACCTAACAAAATGACAGCCACTGAAAGCAGGAGTCCTTTGTTATGGGCTGCAAGTCTGAGTAGGGCATCAGAAGTTTCTGAAAGTCATTGATCAATATTGATTCAAATGACTTTCAAGATCCAAAATCCCAATTCTTGATTTTTCAGTAGGAACCTAAGGGTGGAGACCCCCCACCAGCATGTCTTTTGGGAGAAAAATAACCACAGTATTTCTACCATGGCACACATCCTATGCATGAACAGAAGACTGAGAAATAACTTGTCAACTGAGTGTAAGTGTTAGGCTTAGAACACTGCAAGCCAAAAACTATTGGTCAAAATCTCCCGACGTTTCTCTGCAGAACAAAGGGTTACACACAGTACTAGTTACCCTGTGAAGGTCTTTCAGAAGACAGGCATTGGAAGAAGTGATGGAAGCTGACACAAACAGAATAATGATCATAACTGCTCATTAAGAAATATCTAGTGCTAGTCATCTGACCCCTTAGACACATTATCTCTAATTTTCACAATGACCCAATCAAACCAAAATGATACTCTCCTGCACAAAAGGGAAACTGAGGCCCAGAAAGGCTGCAGCACTTTGTAAAGTCCCACTGCTGCGAAGCCGTCCGTCTCATTCTGCAGAACAGATGACAGAGGCACAGCTCAGTCTTCTCACCTGGCTTCTGTGCCCTTCCTCCTGACTCTTTTCTCGCTCTGACGGTTATTTATTTTGTGGTCTGTTCCTGGGAGAATGCCTCTGTATATCGTAAGTAACAGGGGGTCAGGCTCACATGAAAGGGTGTCTCCATAAGCTTCTGTGGCCCCCGGGGGTGGGCAGGGGCTAAGACTTCATGCTGTCCCAGGCAGCACCCTGGAAGCTACAACTCAAAGTGGGTTTCGAAGAAGGGGCCGCAGAGAGACTGGATGGGAGAGCTTTAAGCCCAATACTGACATTTCGAGGCAGGGGCATTCTCTTCCTTCTCTGCACCGTTTCCTTTCATTTTCATCTCGCGCTGTGTGCCACAGAAACTCTACAAGAGCCGAGGACACAGAGTTCGGGAGAGATCTCCGGCTCAAGCCTCCCACCGTCCTGCTTCCTGGCCTCCCCGCAGCTAAGGCCCCTGGCTCGGTGACCCTCCCGACGATTTGTCCACTGTTTCTTTGTTCCCGGTTACCTGTGCAAATGAAATGGCTTTTCTTCCTGTGTGTTTTGTACAACAGGGGGCTAAAAAGACACGGAGACAGAGCGCCCTCACTTGTGTTTACATCTGAGCGTTTGTGGGTGGGTTTTGAAGTACCGGTCATTTCAGGTAACGTTTTTGTGCAATATTTCAACACCATTTAAAGCCAGCCTTGTAGGTTTTGATAAAAGTGGATTACGTGTGGTGAACAGATGAAAATGAAAAAAAAAAAAAAAAGAACAATTTGGTAGGAATAGTGAAGAGAAAGACAGGATGTGATGCTGAAGAAGGCTAAGTCATGCTTAAGGTGAGACCTACTTTAAGACTCAGTTTCTCAACTGACAACACAAGCTGAAATGGATGAAAAAGATACCTGCCCCCCACCCCTCACTCACATCTTGTTCCCCTTAAGCCGAAAAACAATGAATACAGGCAAACCACAGCATGATACAGACAGTCCACCCAAATCATTAGCAAGGCCCTATTATCTGTGTACTTGGGGAAGGAGGAAAAGAGACGGAGGTGAGTCAGGGGCCTGAATTATCCCAATCATTAACCGCAGGTTGGCATTCCTCAAACTGCAGTCCTTGGATCAGCTGCATTAGAATCCCCACTGGGGCTGGATAAAAAATGCATATTCCAGGCCTCAACCAGACCTGAAAGGTCAGAATTCCTAGGGGTAGGTTCCATAGCTGTCGGCCTTTAGCTGACTCTCTGGGTGATGTGCTCGCCAAAATGGGACAGTCACTACTCTGGCTGAAACCCAAGACTCCCCTTTTCGGATGCACCCCTGAGGATCAACCCCGTCCTCCCCCTTCGCTCCCCTCCTCCCCAGGGGAAGGCAGAACCATCTGGGACTTTACCTGGTCGCATGGGGCTCTGCACACAGTTCGGGGGTGGGATGCCAGGGTGGATGGGTGCGGAGGCCCGACTGCTGAGGTCCATGACGGAAGGGGCCGCTGAGGAGGTCGGCTGCAGCCCGGGAGGGTGGGGGCTGTGGTCATGCTGAGACGGGCTGGGGGGAATGCCATTTTCCGACAAAAACTCCTCCAGGTCCATGTATTCCAACTGGAAGGTATCTCCGTCATAGGGAAGGGTTTTGTCCCATAAGGTGGGCCCCAAGAATGCTGACTGGGGGACCGTCGGGCTATTACTCTCATCATCCAGCTTCTTTTCCTTGTCTTTATCCTTACTATATGCTGCAAAACAAGGGAAAATATTGGAGTTTAAAAAGGACAGTGAAAAAGTCTCACTTTTTTTTTTTATCACTTCTCCTTGGCTTCTGCTACAAAACTACTTTTCACACGTACCGGGGCTGTTCTCTGCTGCTTCTTGGGGCTCTAGAGTTAAAAGTTCAGGCAGGACATGGATCTCTGCCTGTTTTTCAACATCTTCCTATTTACTTTGGAAAGAAAGCACTAGTCCTCGGGACTGGGCTAGAGACTGATCAAGGATATAAACAAGACAGCACAGCCCTCAGTGCATTATTTAAGGAGACAAATAATAATTTAAATCTACAGTGGGAAAATAACACCTGCAATTACATACAACTGCTGTGATTTTTAAGAAAACAGCCAATAACTAGGCATGATTTATCTTCCAGGAAATTCATTACAGTGACAATATGAGGTCATTCAGATTTAGAAAGCCAATGTATTAGTAATGCTAATTTTGGTAAAGCATGGACTCTCTGCCCTTCTTTGATACCCTGTATTGAGCACCTACTAACATACCTGGTTCTTTTATATGTTTCTCCCCCAAAAAATCTCGTAATAAACTTGCAAATAGTGACAACTTCCATTCACAATGAAGACACAGAGGCTCTGAGGATTATGGGAGCTTAACCAATGGATCACATCGCAGAGAGGAAAGCTGAGAACTTCCTAGCCCACATGTGTTTGCTTCTAAAGCCACTGGGGTACACTGTATTTTACAAAAGGAGTTTCTTGTTTTGGTGTGGTTTAAAATACAAGTGTTTTCTTCCTCCTCTTCCCCAAACACTTAGGTATTGTCAAACTCGAAAATTATACCTGTATGGAAACTGTCAAGAGCACAGTTACCAGAAAAGGTGGTTCCTCTGAGCATCTATGATGGACATGTACAGCTATTTTCTACCTGCAAGAATCCCTCACTCCATTAGGTCCTTAACCAGCGCCCTGGATTTGGACAAGTCTACTAGTCCTCAAGTGCGGGTGAAGTCTGTGATTAAGGAATTTAGCTTCTGACTTTCTTCCTCACAGAAACACAGCCTCCATGCCATCCCTTCTAATCCTCTACAGTCTCATCTCCCAAGAATCTGACTTCGAAACTCCCACAGATGCAAAAGACTGCCGGCAGCACCTTCCTCCCTAGTGCCCCTCCTTAAAGGGGATTTAAGGGGGAAGCTCCGTTCTGCAGACTGGGAACCAAACCCCTCAGCTCTTGCAATGCAACAGGTTGTCCTAGGAAAGAAAAATGCGAATATGACCCGGCTGCTTGCAGCCAAAGGATCTTTTAAGACTTTACACTCCTGAGCCGCAGGGCTCACCTCACCGTTCACATTTGCTCCTGGGATACCTCTGGCAGGAAACCCCCCAGCCCAAACGACAAATCCCTGGCGGCACCAACTGGATCCGGCGCCTCCTCGCAGGAACCCTCCGGGCCTGCCCCAGCCAGGCTTGCCCGGGGAAGGTTTGGGACTTACCCAGAAAGGGCTCAGGCCAGAGGAGGCTCCGGTGCGGTTACACGTGAGCCTGCCCGGCTCTCCCCTCCTACCGGGAAAGTGCGCGGCGAAGGGGACCATGCGGGGGGCGTGCGCGGCACCCCGCCCAGGGACCACTCCCCCAGCCCACCCCAGCCCCCATCTCCCGGCCTGAAGCACCCAGCCCGGGACACCGGGCGTCTCCACTGTCGCCTCGGGAGCTCCAAACGCTAAAACTAAGAGCTGTGATTAGCACGATCGCAAATACCCCGGCTCCGCTATGCGACCCCTGACTCGAGCCCCCGCCCGCTTGGAGCCCGGCCCTGGGGTTCACTCCAGGGCACGCGGGCCCCCTCCCCCGCCCCTGCGCTGGCGCTTTCGCTCCGCGTGTGGATGCACCTCGACCTCGGGGACGCCGACCTGTCAACTTCTGTCTCCCACCTGCGCTGCCCGAGAGGACCCGCGAGGACCGGCCGGGGCCCCGGCGCTCAACTAGCAACACGGAATGTCCCCTCGACAGAACCGCCCCTCCCTTTGTCGGGGGAGGAGGGGTGGGGCGATAGGTGAGCGCCTCAATTTCATTCAAGCGCGGCCGGGGTGCCGGGAGTGGGAGAGCAGGGGGTGCTCCGGGGGTGCCCGGCCCGGGAGGGGGCCCCCAGCGGGGCAGCCAGCAGGGCAGCGCTCACCGTCTTCGTGATGAAGGGGGAGCTTCAGCGGGTTCTCCAGCAAGGACCTGAGCACGCCGTAGGGAGGCGGGATAAAGGTGGGGTTCAGGGGAAGCGGTCGGGACATTTTCTCCATCGCGATGCACTCAATTTTTTTTTTCTTTAAAAAAAAAAAAAAAAACCAAAAAACTCCAACCTCCCCCCAAAATGTTGCTGAGCTTTTTCCTCCGTCCTTTGCCAAAAGTACTAGCTTTCAAGGCGGTGGAGACAAGAGAAGAAAAAGAAAAAAAATTACTTGTGTCTTTATAAATACATCTGCATAAAAACACAAAACCAAAAGAACTTTCAGGCTCCCAGCGCAGACGACCCTCGGGGAGCGCGCCAAGTGCCCGCGGGCTCCTCCGCGGCGGGCGGGATGCTCTCACCTGCCTCGAACCTCTCGTCATGCACAACGCTCAAAATTGCGAAAAAGAAAGGAAAAACATGCAGAGCGCTGCAGAAGGCGGAGAGCCCGCACCGCCCCGGCGCGAGCGCGAGCGCGAGGCCGCGCGCCCCGCCCCGCCCCTCCCGCGCCGCGGCCGCTGCCCCCCGCGCCGGCGGCCCCGCAGCGCCCGGCCCAGCGCAGCGCCCGGCCCAGTGCAGCCGGCCGCCCATGTGCCGCGGCCGGCCGGGAGTGACGTCAGCGCCCGCCCCGCGCGCTCAGGGGCGTTCGGAGGCGGGCCCCGCGGCTCCGCCCACTGAGGCCCCGCCCACAGGCTCCGCCCCCGCCGCGAGTGTAGCGTCGCCGCGCGCGCCGACTTTTCCCGAGCCCTGTGGTGCCGGCGGGCGGCGAACGGCGTCAGGACACCAGGTGCCCCCCGCCCGGGCCGTGGGCCTGTGCTGAGGAGCGAACTTTTTCACAGTAAGAAGACGAATGCGAAATGTATCTCTTTAGTTTTCCACCTGGTGATTATTTAGGGCTTTTGAAAAATCACTCCCAGAGTGATTAGGGAGCAGCCAAGTTCGGCAATGGCTGCTTTAGGATCTTTAGGATCCAATCGAGGGTACTCTTCTAAATATTGCCCCCGGCCCCAGCCAAGTTTAGCTCCCGTTCTCTTGTCCCGCTCCCACAACCCCAGGAAAATAAGGACTTGCTAGAAGTTCAAATGAGACATAATAAAAACCAGAGAGGGAACCACAGAGAAGCGCTGTGAACTGTTTCCAGAGCTTTCAAGGCAATGTTACTAGGGATACACTCTGGCCTGAAGTTGAGTGAGGGCAGGAGAGACACACACACCGAATGGTATTTCAGGAATATTTGCTCTAAAAGAACGCAGATGACTGTGCCTGGGTTACAAAGTCTGCATGGTATTTAAAATGATTTTGTAAAATTTTCCCCAAAGTGACGTAACTGTTCAAGGCCACCACAGCAGCTGCAGGTTCGTGCTTGGCCAGTTTGCCACCAGACAGGGGTGATCGCTGAGTACTGCGTGCAGCTGGGCTTGGCTTGGCTGGTAGCGCTGGCATCCAGGCCTGGGGAGCTCCCCACCCCCAACACACAAGCATCTGGGTCTTCCTCACCCTCCCTTCCCATATCTCCTCACTAAGATTAGGGTACCGTCATCTCCGGAAAAGTTTGCAAGAGTGAATGGGCACAAATTAATACAATCTTGCAATAAGACAGAATGGTCTTTGTAAACACTACCTCTGGCTAAGAGTGGGCAGTGATTGCCATATTTAAAATGGATCACCAACAAGGACCTCCTGTATAGCACAGGGAACTCTGCTCAATGTTATGTGGCAGCTTGGACGGGAGGGGAGTTTGCTGGAGAATGGATACACCTATGTGTATGGCCGAGTCCCTTCACTAGTCACCTGAAACTATCACATTGTTAATCAGCTATTCCCCAACGCAAAATAAAAAGGTTTTGGTTTTTTGTTAAAGACTACCTCTGGGGGGTGGAAATTCTTGGTGGCCCTTCCTTGGAGCCCCTGATGGCAATTGGATGACAGGAGACCAGGTGTAGGGTGCCCTTGGCAGGGTGGCTTCTGGTGAGTGCCTTTCCCTCTCTGAGCCACAGATTCCTCCTCATTGGGCATATGATCAAGTGACCTCTACATTTTTCCTCATTTGAAAATTATGAAGAGAGATAGGTGAGAAAGTGCTAGAGTGTTTCAGACTTCAACCAAATTCCAAAAAATCAGGCTTTAAGCTAATGTCACATATATGTATCGAGCAGCAGGGACCTATATGTATGCCAGGGACCTATAGATGAATAAGACATAGTTCTAACCCTCAAAAAAGTTTAGTTTAGAGCCTGGCATATATGCACATTACAATATAGTTTTAAAGGAGCAAAAATGGATAGATAGTGATGACCTCTCCAAACAATCACTCAAAAATCTATTGCCTTCAAAGAACAACTGTTTTATTTTTTCTCCTCATCCTGCAATCTGGACTAGACTCATCTGGTACACTGAAATGGCCAGTCTTCTCTTCCTCTACATGAAAGTGTTAAGACTTGTCTGCTTTCACGTGGCCTTTGTGTGTTCTCTCCAGCCGTGTAGTCTGACTTCTTACATGACAGCTCAGGGCTGCCAAGAGCCAGCCATCTAAGATAAGCCCCAATCTGCAGCACTTGTTAAGATTTTGCTTGCTAATGTTCCACTGGTCAAAGTCAGACATGTAGTCAAATCTCAAGTCATTGTGAGAAGAAAGCATACAGGGGCATGCAAGTTGGGTGGCATAGTTCATTAGGAGGTCCCCAAAGTAAGAGTCTACCACAGTTATTTTATCTTAAATAAAGGCAAATAAGATTAGAGAATTTATCAAATATCATTATATCAAGATCTTCTGACCATAAGTCCATCATGTCATTGGATGAATATATGTCCACTCAGTCATTCATTCAGTACTAGTTCAAAACAACTTGTGTAAAGCTCTGGGTGCCAGGTGAAGATGTCAGACCAGAGGGATCAGGTCAGATGGGAACTTAGAGACTGGCTGGTGATATGCCATATGTAACCAATGTGAAAAGTTATGGTCTATGAGAAACATGGGCTTCCCAGGTGGCGCTACTGGTAAAGAATCCACCTACCAATGCAGGAGACATAAGAGATGCAGGTTTGATTCCTGGATTGGGAAGATCTCCTTGAGGAGGGCATAGTAACCCACTCCAGTATTCTTGCCTGGAGAATCCCATGGACAGAGGAGCCTGGTGGTTTATGGTCCATAGGATCAGAAAGAGTCGGACACGACTGAAGCGACTTAGCACACACGCACATGAGAAACACAGGAAGAATACAAGACAGGCCTGGAGAATAAAGATAAGAGAAGGGAACCAGCAAGCTTTCTCAAAACAAGACATTAAGAATGCATAGTATTTGGGGAATTCCCTGGTGATCAAGGAGGTGTGGGTTCAATCCCTAACCAGGGAGCTAAGATTCCATAGGCCTCCTGGCCAAAAAAACCAAAACCGTGAAACACAAGCAATATTGTAACAAATTCAATAAAGACTTTAAAAATGTGCTGTGCTGTGCTTAGTCACTCAGTTGTGTCCAACTCTTTGCAATCCCATGGACTGTAGCCCGCCAGGCTCTTCTGTCCATGGGATTCTCCAGGCAAGAATACTGGAGTGGGCTGCCATGCTCTCCTCCAGAGGACCTTTTCAACCCAGGGATCGAACCCAGGTCTCCCACATTGCAGGTGGATTCTTTACCATCTGAGCCATCAGGAAAGCCCAACTTTAAAAATGGTCCACATCAAAAATGAATAAATAAAGAGAATGCATAATATTTGTACATGTGGAAATCAGGGCTGCAGATAGGGAAAAGGGAATTCCAGAAAGGAATGAGATTGGTCAAGATATGGAGAAAGGCAATTGACAACTTGTGAATGTGTTTTTATTTCTTTTGGATAAACAAATAGGAGTGCAATTGGTTTCATTGGAAGGATACATGTTTTACTTTATGAGAAACTGCCAAACAACTTCCTAAAGTAGGTGACTTATTCTGCATTTCCAGCAGCAGTTGAGAATCCTGATTGCTCTGAGTTCTTACTGACATTTACCTCTGTCAGTTGTAAAATATTTAGCCATTAAAGTGGATGAATGTCTCATTGTGCTTTTAATTTGAATTTTTATGATGATAATGTTAAGCACATTGTCATGTGCATATCAATCATTTGTATATTTTTCTGTGCAAACTGCCCAAGTCCCTTCCCCAATTTAAAATTGTCTTTTTTATTTAAATTTGTCTTTTTTATTATTGAATTTTAGGAGTTCTTTATATGCTTTGGATAACAGGTCCTTTGGCAGATTCAGGTGTTTCCGTCCACTCTGTGGCTTTCCTATTAATTTTCTTGACGTTGCCTTTCCATGAGCAAACATTCATGGACTTACAGAACTTTAATTTAATGAAGTTCAATTTATTAAAAATTTTTTCATGGCTATTACTTTTGGTGAACTAAGAATCCTGAGTTTTGGAGATATTTTCTTCTAAAGCTTTTATAGTTTAAGCTTTTCCTTTTAAGTCAATGACCCATCTCAAATTAAATTTTGTGGCTAGCACTGAGAAGTTGAGGCACAGAGGCTGAGGTTTTGTTGTTTTTTTTTTTCTCTCATGGGAATATTTGATTGTTCTAGCAGCAGCTATTGAAAAGAATTTTACTTCCCCCTTGAATCACTTTGGTACATTTATTGAAAATTATTTGACTGTATATTTGTGAGTAATCAAAACCTTTGATCCCCAAGGGAAAATGGATTCTTTATTTCCAAGAACAGAATAATGCTATTTCTAAGTTTCCTGGGCTCTGATTCATATCAAGCAGTGGAACAAAGTTCATCCAAGTTCAAGGCTAAAATGAATGGCTCAACTTTGGATGGCTCATTTGGTTTGTTACAAGACCTACAAAGCTGTCCATGTTAAGGTAAAAAAGAGCCTAGAGGCAGAGGCATGGCTAATTTGTTTTTTATGTCTAAGAGTAAATAATCTAGTCTACTGAATGCTTTTTGTTACAAATGTGAATATTTTCAGCCCTCCTGTCCTAACCTGCATGTGCTTGGGGGATAAAAAGGTCAAAACTAAACATCTGTTCCATACATCCAAACAAATAAATTTTATAAGGAGAATATTTAACAGTTCAGTGGAAACTCTTTAGTTGTCTCTTCAAGTAGGGAAGTATAGCAGATGCTCCTGGAGTATGGAACTGTCCTAAAAATAGAAATGACCGTAGAAGAAGGGTTTCTCAGACAACCTCTTAGAAGCTGTCAGCACAGCCGTGCTCTGCCCTGATGGTGTGGGACTCAGCCTTCTGTCCAGCCAGTGGTTTGCAGCTGGCCTGTCATTTCAGAACTTGGGTGAGACTGAGTGTGGAAGTCTTTCTTGCAGCCTAGTGGGGGCAGATTTGACGCCGCCACCTTGGCACTGCCCTGCGGGTCTGCAGAAAGGTCTTTGCAGGGTAAGCAGCATCTGTGTTTCAGGTTCCCAGTGGGTGTGAAAGCTTACTGAGCACACAATGCCTGCCACTGTACCCTACCAGCGGCTGGGAGCCTGGGGTGCTGAGAAGCAGCCACTAGGGTTATAAAAGGCTTTATGTGCCAGTGAGCCAAACCTCTAGATGAACCTGTTTATCTTGTTGCCAGAAAGGGCACTTTATCCAGGGAATTAATTCAGAAGTAAAAGACATCACATGGAAGTTGAGCTGGATACGCCTAACCCAGCTCTCCCTCTCTCATTCCTGAAATCTCTATCCCAGCTAAAGCACCAAAGATGGGAAAATTATAATTAATCAGCTTAACTACTAGAGATCCTAAAATCCATTCACTTGGTGCAGGAACATGCAAACCAAAAGCAAACACATGTTTAGCAGGC